CATAGAACTTGGCTAAGTGAGGGAAAAGATCATGGTCTTGGTTTAAAAGCCAGCAGCAGCTTGAAGCAGGACACACAACATGGCTATTCACATATAAAGCTGCTATATGTACGTTTTTGCTATCGCTACATAGCTAACGTTAGCATTATTAGCTGTTACCAGACCAGTCTAGATGAAATGTTGCTAGTTCAGCATCAAACTTCATTCCTTTACTCGCCCAGTGGTGGAAAGCAATGGCAGTTCTTGTTTTGCTTCTATTTCTATCACTTCTTTTCTTCCACTGAAGTTAGCATTGTAACCAGCAAGCCCGTCTCACCACTTTCCGATAGCGAGTCACTGTAGCCTCCAGGCTGCCCTGAAGAAGTAGCGCTGCTCAGAGGGGTATTATAAGCTCTTGTCTTGTAAACACAACAATAGCTGAAGCTCTTTGCAAGCGACCATCACCACCACTTCCCTCCTGGCAAGAACCCAACGCAGGGAAAAATTACATACAGCCCCTTTAATCCAGTCTTTCACTGAACTTAACCAAAGTCCTTTTGTTGCCTAAACTTAACCCCACACAGAACTCAGGGTGCAATCCCAGGTCTCTAAAGACCACCATCCACCGACTCCCTGTGACTATGCAGAACAAAAGTGTAGAGATTCCTTCACTAGAACAAACTTAGTCTGTTAGCCATTACATTTCTCACCACAACGTAACTGGGAAAACAAATTAATCCTATATACATGTAATTTCTAGGAGGTAGAGTTGTCAGTAATGAGACACGTTGAAATACAAATTACTTGGATGTTACTCCAATTCTGTATGTGCGTAGTCCACAAGTAAATGCAAAAATGATAACAAAGCTACAAGAGTATAATTAAAGCATGATACAGACTGATCGATCATGTTCAATATATTAGTCTAGATTGTGGTTCTGCTATTAATCAGTAAAGTCCAACACTTAACTATACACCATAGGTATCTATGGCGAGAGTTTTGTTAACCCGTTGCATCAAGTATAAACCCAACTTCCTAATTTTTTCACTTCCTTATGTTCCTTCCTCTCTCCACCTTAAGATATCCCCTTCTTCTGTCCCACACCCTGCTCCTGCTCCTCCTCCTCCTCCATGTTGGTCCACCTTTGCCACCTTCTTCTCCTGTGCCAACACCAACCATCCCGTCCTCTCCATCCCCTTTTGATCTTTCTTCATTTTTCCTGTTGCAATTACATGCTTTTTCCTCCCCCCCTCCATCATCCTCACGTTGTTGTCCTCCTCACACATCCTTCTTTACTAACTTTCCTACACATGCTTTTCGCTTAATCCATCAAATTGAATTAGTGGTAAAGTTTTTTAAATCTGTTAAATGCTTAAATGGGTGTGGAATTCTTCTTGTGGAGTCTTGACTGTAATTTGAGCAGCCTTTAACCGTGCAGTTTTGGAAATGGTCAAACTTTCTCCTGATGTTCAGGGAGGAAAAAAGAGTAATAATGATGCAAGGATGATATTTGTGAAAATAGATGCACTCGGCTCTTGCTCAGAGCATGTTCATTCATTTACTATGACCATGCGGCGACCGAGTGACTCGGAGCAGGAGCGTCGCCGCTAAGTGGAACAGAGAAGGGGAGCAGCTGGGCGAAATTCACCTGCCACTTTCAATGTGGATCAGAAATTGCACTCACACCAACATCTCTTCTCCAACAGTGGGGGGAAAAAATTAGGGGAAACAGGAGGACAGAGTGTGCTGAGGCCATACAAATCACAGACAGTAGATTGAATGGAGGGCAGTGATGGAAATGGGAAATGGTCACATTCTTTGAGACCTGCTGTGTTTGATAGACAGGGTTTCATGGTCTGCTGAAGATGAAGCAATGGGTGTAACACACTGATTTACAGCAGCTGAAAGATTGACAGAAATACAAAAGAGTAACTTACTGTGAAGTAATTTATGCTTTATAATAGAGGAAACATTAAGTAGTGTTAGTTTTTCCATCTTTGTGACATTTTTCGTGTCACAAAACATTGTAATAGATTTATTCCAACATGGTCTCCTTTGAAATTATGTCTCTATGGACACTTCTTATTTGTTTAGCCAAATATTTTTTGAGGTAATTGTCATTTCTTTCTTATTATGAAGAAAAGTGCTATAATTTTGTGCTGCCTTCATGTTGTATGAAGGTGGTTGCAGTCACTGTGGATGTCAAAGCTTACGACTCTGACACTGCAGACGAGGGCCCACATCTTCTGTCCCACATGTGGTTAGACACACTTGAGGGCAGGGAAAGATTAGATACTAATACAAAACCCACATTGTGCTTCAAGTCACTTTTGACTTTCTTTTTCTTTTTTTGGTATTTTCTAATATTTACCCTTTAACTTTCCCTAATCTTAAGGAAGTGCCTCAGGTGCCTAAACACAACCAATTAAAAGCCATAAAAAAATAATCCAAGAGGAATTTCCTCTCAAAACTTATTTGTAATATGTAAACACATCATTTCTAGGAGATGGGATCAGTTGATTCTCTGGTAAACAACACTCTGAATATGTCTAGAAATGTATTATTTCACTGTTGCATAACATTTTAATTTATAAGCATCACTTGATCTTGGATTGTGGGTCTCTCCTGGTTTTGGCCAAACAGTAGTTTGAGCAAGATGGTTGCACAGTTGAGGTTGTGCTTTGACAGGCATGTTATTAGAAATAACTGTCTGACCAGCTGTTTGCTCTTCAGCAGTTTGGTCACTCAGGCATTTGCAGACTTACTGTACGTGATATTGTAACTAGCCCTGAACTAGTTTTAATCCTCCTGCCACAGTGCTCGGTGCACAAGTCTTCTCTCTGCCTGCAGTGACTCTTTGCCTCGCAGGGAGGCAGTGCTGCGTCGCTCTCACACTGACGAGAGCCACAGACAGACTGCAGTGAGTCTGCTTTTCAAAGAGTGATAACAGATTGCTAATATACAACTTATAGAGTCACACACAACCACAAAGCAGCTCATTCTACACAGACACTCCTCTCCATCTGTGACATACTTGTCTCACTTCACCACCTCTAAGCCTATCCTATCAGCATGATGTGCACTTGTGGCCAGCAGCCACACACACACACACACACACACACACACACACACACACACACATTGGCCTTGCAAATGCATTGCTAGAAGTATGAGGACATGCCACAGGTGAGCAAGAATGTCTCATATCTGAAGAGGAAAGTGTAGAGGAAACCTTTATCTCAGGGTTCAGGGCCAAAAACTGTTGTTTATATTCACTGGACAGATAAAATCTACAGCAGATGTGTACAGAAAGAGAAAAGAACATAGAGAAATTTAATTCTCTTAGGTGAGAGAGGAAAAGAAGAGAGAAGGTTTGTGCACTGAATTTGAACTGTATACTGGCTGTAAATATTTAGTAAAGCCACAGACTAGAGAAACGGATGGAAAAACAGAAAGACAGATATACAAAGTGGCATTGGGAAAAACAAACAGTTAGTTGGTCAGTCAGTCATTCAGACAGACATTTATAGAGAAGGGACATGCTTCATCATACACTGGCAGAAAGTCGAGACAGACATTAAGCTTATACAAAGGGAGGTCGGCCCGTCACTCAGTCAGATGTGTATGACTGATTGACAGCATTATATAATACTACACAGTCAGACAGACACACTAACAATCCAGCAGACAGATCCACTGATCTCCACACAGACAGCACGGCGAGTAGACACCGTGCATCCGAGATCAGTTCATATTAAAGGTGGCACAGTCAGGCAGGCAGCAGCTGGGACTGGCCATCAGGGAGAGATGTGGGGGCCACGCTGCCCCAATATATCCATGCAACATTAATATTTCAAAATTGTTTTTCTGTGAATTTATAGTCTGGCTAGCGTGTGCTGTTGGCCTCCATCACACGCAGCCGTTTAAACGAAAACAGTCAAGGTTCATGTTTCTGTGTAAGATCCTTTTCCATTTGCTGGAGAATTTTAGCTGCCAGCAAAGCAAGTGAGGCAGGGTCGTATATGAGTGCTGTCAGTGTTAAGTTAGGTGACACTAACTAAAGCTGGTATGTGTGGAATCTCCAGTTCAAGAAGTTCACAATTATTTCTGTAGCATTTACTCATCCGGTAGATGTTTTGTCCAAAGCGACATACAAATGATAACACTGTGAAATTTCAAAATTCTAAATTTATGTAAATTATACAGCCACAGGTCTGGTTTACATGAATTATTCGCTATTAATAATTGGAATGATGAAGTCAGTATTGTACAAAATATAACAAACTAAAGCAGAATTCAGGCTAAAGTGTCAATGGGAAGTAAGAAATAAGGCTGCAACAGTTATTTTCATTCATCTTTAATCTGCAGATCATTCAATCCTATGTGAAATAAAATGCCTATGACGAATTGTCATAGCAGAAGGAGTCGACCAACCATCAACCAACAAGCACAAACCCAAAGATGTTCAATGTATTATTATAGATGATCCCCACATCAGACAAGATGGGAGCAGAGCATGGTTTTACTCAATGATTTAATTATCAAAATAGTAGCTGTCTGTCAATTGACCAATAGATTGATCAACTGACTGTCTCAGCTCTAATGACGAATGAACTGAATGATCGTTTGATGAATCTAAAAGTCATATTTGAAGCAAGCCACTTACTTTCTTTGGTTACACTACACCAACTTAAACAAGTGTAAATCATCCTCCACAGCTTCCTCTCTGATTATTATAGAGTGTAAAGAGTCATCTCAACATCTAAACAGCGACAGGACAAAAAAAACAAAAAAAAACCTACATGCAGTTGTGGTCAGTGCGGTTGCCAATAAGACGAGAGCTGCTTGTGCGCCGTGACGCGCGCATTGAGAGGGGTAGGGGGGGTAAAGCAAGAGGGGGTGGGTGAGAGAGAGAGAGAGAGAGAGAGCTCACCTCTCCAAATCAACCAGTCAGCATCCCAAAAAACACAAGAAGCGCTGGTGATCTTTCAATGATACCCTCATCTCTGCCCTCACTCCTCTAAACTCACTTGGTCTCCGCACAAACTTCCAGCGAGAGCGTCCGGCATGAGCGGAGACAAACACCATGGATGTGCCACATGAGGCGGACCGGAGCAACTGAACCGCCACCGCTCAAAGTTTGACCGTAGAAACCACCGTGACACTCGCTGAACAAACACGCAACTTTAAGTGCGTTTTTTTTTTCTTCCTGCTTTTCTGACACTTTTTACTTTGTCGCCTGCCCCTTGGATTGCTTGGATTCCGCGGTGTGTCTTTTTATGTTCAGCCGGGGAGACGTGTAGTTTTTTTTCGGGGTGGTCCGCTATAAGGAAGGTGACATGCAGGTTCTCGGTTGGACCATAGTTCTCCTCTGCCAGTGGATCCTACGGAAGGTGAGTTTATTATCATTCTGATGAACCAAAAAACACTAGAAATATCTTTTTATATGCAACCATAGAGACTGGGTTGGGGGGGGGGGGGCGTTTGGAAAGAAGCACCTGCTCACTCCTTTTAGAGGGTCAGTTTTCTTTAAATGACACCGCTGGAAAAAAAAAAAAAAAAGATCCATGCAATAACATTTTTAACGTTTCACATTGAGAATAGTATCTAAATCACAGTCAGCAGGACCTGGTGGTTTTATAGTCTCTTTTGACAGAGCCGTATCGGTATCTCCATTCAAGCTGTGTTCTCTGGAACTTGATTTTAAGTTGTTATATCTTCGTAACAGCCGTTCAGACCACGGAGAAACTGCAAAAGGTGTTTCTCTGGCTCAATTTTGTTTTAACAGTTTGAAAAAAACGCGTGTGAGACTTTTCTTTCTTTCTTTTTTTTTTTGTTGCCCGATCTCCAAACGCGCAGATCTCTGCTGTCTGTTTCCCCTTTACTCCCATGCAGTTAAGCAGGACTCCTTATCTATTCATCTATGTGCGCTCCCAGCAACTTCCTCTCATTTCTCTTCAGAAGTTAAACACGCCCGTGGCTTGTTTCATTATCTCGGCATCGTTGTGGCAAAGAGTTTGTTCGCCTACTTTGGCTGCTGCAGCTGCTGATTATTTCTGGTTAAATGCGTGCGTGCGTGCGTGCGTTTATGCGCGCGCTCACTCATTTCTTGGGCTGTTTGCGCATTATATGTGTGTGTTTTCCTGATTGCTTTACACTGACAGTAATAATGTACATATTATATCTAGACCTCAACACATAACAGAATACAATACAATACAATACGACAGAATACAATGCAACGCTGTCTGTCCCAGCAGATACACACCATCTGTACTCAGTATGTCTTTGGCCTCAGCAAGAAATGAAAGAGAATAAAAACATGACCTTTCTCCATGTTCCTCATCTCCTCCCTCTTCCTCACCTCTGACACTTTCAGCTTCCCCCCTTCCTGTTTCTTTCCTCCCTTTTCTGCTCCTCTTCCATTATGGATCTATTTATCCCCACTCATTTAAAAAAAAAAAAAACACCATGTCTTCAAATATAGTAAAAACATATGCAACACTGTAAAAATGTTGCAGAGGTTTTGACAAGACTTTCAAAATCTGCTATTTTTTACAAGGCTTAAAAAAATCAGCCCTGAAGTGTAAAAAAGGTTTTATTAGCAGACGAACATCACTAGATTCAAGTGTCAAACCGTAGTGTTAGGACTGTATAGATCTCAGGGGTGAACACCTTCACTGTTAACAGCTGTGCTTGGTGGCTCACAGTTGCCGGAATACTCTCCAGACACAAAGGAAATAGTGATGGGAGATATAAACCTTTTTTTTTTTTTTTTTTTTTTTTTAAAACACCCAGTTGACTGCTGGCAGATTGGGGTTAGGTTGTATTGTGACAGGTAATAACACCTCCACTTCTTCTGAAGATTGAATACATATCATGTCTCCTGCAAAGTGGAATTGCCATGCATCTTCCGCATGAGAGTGCAACTCAGGTTCAAGTATTAGGATCGACTTTGTATTAGATTATATCAGCCACGCTTTTCAGTAATGTGCCATTTGAAGTTGTGTTAGATCCTTTTTTTTCTTTCCTTTCTTCTGTGGAGTGAGGGAGGATAAAAATCTTGTTTGTTTTCAGCGGCTATGCCGCGGTGTAGATGACACAGTGATTTGGCTGACATAATCTGACAAGTTACATCCCTGGGAGCACTATTAGCTTGAGGGATTAAGAAGTGAAGAGGTAAAAGGCGGCAGTGAAGAAGTGACGGCAGGTGATAAATTCGGTAAACAGAGAGAGGAGGAAGGAGGAAAGAGAGGATAGGAAAAGAGCAAAGTAGAAGTCAGCGGAGGGGAAAGAAGAGACGGTAACATTAACCATCTCTCTAACTTAATTTGGTGGTCTCTTTGAAGGAAACCCACCCTCAGTGGTCATTTAGAGCAATTTAGAGGCTTGTTTAAGTACATCTGTGAGTGCATAAGTGAGTGTTTCCAATGGAAGACGGGGAAGCAAAGTGAGTAAAGGATGGAAATGATGCTCTCCTGATGTCTCAAGGCTCTATCATTTATATTTTGTGAATGTGTTAAAAATGTAGAACTTCATTTATGGCTTATTTTCAAAATGTTTTACAAAAAGTGAAATTGTGTTAACACACTTGGATGAGAACATTTTTTGTGGGTGGGTTCTTACATTTCTGTATAAAAAAACAAAACAAAAAAAGAACCAACAAATTGTGTTTCGTGCCTATGATGTCTAACGCTGCAGTATTATAATTTTTTCCACCTTGTACTTTGAAACGATATCTACAGTAACAGCACTACAAAAGAAGAAAAGACGTGTGAAAAGCTTCTTTGCTGTTTTATGCTCCCAGTAGGAACAATAGCATTAGCCGGCATCTCAACCTGACAAAATCCTCTTATCTCCCCCCATAAAACAACTAGCTATATACCCCAGGGATATTACAGCAACTGAGTCACTTTAATTTCATTATATATAGTCCTACTTCCTTTGCAATCATGTCTCTCATATTCTGCATAGCTCTGCATTTCACTAGTCTCTCTATGTCCCAGTAAAATGTATACGAGTGTTTTCTATGCTTCATGTTCGTGCCCACATGTTATGCACTTATTCACGCCAAAGTGGGGTGGGGTGGGGGGATGGGGGGTTGGGGAGTGGTGGGGGGTTGGATGGGAGGGGGTCACAGCCATCAGAAAAAGCAGGATCAGATGTTTGTTTTTTTTGTTTTTTTGTTTTATCCAACATGGATTAAACCAGGTAGATGGTGTTTCCCTCCCACTCGCTGTATTTTTGTCCATCCATCTGTCCGTCTGTGGATCATCTCAACTGTCAAACGGCCCAGTTTCAACGAACCAGGAAGGCACCGCTGGTCTGTAATCTGTGCAAATTATATTTTCTATTCAACAAACCGATTAGATATGTAATCTGTTGAATCATGCTGACAGAAGCAATCACATTACTGCCATATCTATTGCCTCTGAAATTGTACCCAGAGATCAAAGCAATTATTTAACCTAAAAAAAAAAAAAAAATGCCACCAATTCATACAGTGTTTTTAATGGATTCTAACATACTTTGCTTAAGGTTAAGCAACAATCCATTTTTATTAATTTTGTTTTCTCCCCTTTCAACAGCCCTGTGCCCCATTTTTGACAACCCATTACTTTCAAAATGAGTCATCACTTGCTTGGTGCAGTGAACAGTTCCACCCCAGGCTTTGTATTAGCCTTAAGGAGAGGGGGAATTTAATATAATGTGTGTAGATGTCGTAGATCTTAAACTAATTTGAAACATCGTTATAAACGTGTAGGTTCTGCTTTGTACGAGCATCTGTCATTGCTGTTCATGTGATTCAGCTCATTGTAAGACTGAAGACGTTGACATGTAACGGATAATCGCATTCTTTGTAATTGAATTAAAATGTTCTTTTTCAAACTAGAAGTGATAAAGTCAGGTATGTATAATAACTGCATCTTACTCCCACTACTTTTTCTACAATGTGCAGATCATCGAGGTATAATAAAGGAAGCAAACATCAGGCACAAAAATAAAAACTATGGTGCAGGAATTCAATTACAAACAATGTGTGCGCCCTCCGTTTGACTGACAGCTCAACTACACCTGAAGTTCCAAGAAAGGGAGAGTTACGTCTGAAATTATTGATAAGGCCGTGCTATTATTTTAAGACACAAAGGAAGAGGAACACAGAACATATTCAGGAGCATGGACAGAGCTGCTGCTGCTGCTGCTGCTGCTGCTGCTGCTGCTGCTGCTGCTGCTGCTGCTGCTGCTCTCACTGCTCAACAGGCCTGTTGCGGGTGTTTGGTTCTTTTGCTGCCGGAGCCACCTGTTCATATTTGATATGCAGATGTGATGTGTAAAGGTGTTCCTGGGTCAGAGATTCAGTTTCTATTCATGCATAGTAAATTTATTTCTATGCACACACACACGCACACAAAAACATACATAATATATATATAATATTTAATTTTACTCCAATTGTGATTTTTATAACGCACAGTGCTAAAGTTACATTCCACCACTAATCCTCACTCTGAGTTTGCTGCCACAGATAATGAGCTACAGTAGTTTTTATATGTGTATATGGCACTCACACATTTTACTGCTTAAGTCTTACTTTGTGTGTTGTGTTTTATGAGACTGTCCTCGCTGCTTGACAATTTGCATTCAAACTGTGTAACACAACAGTTTTCAGGCTTAATTAATTTCAAGGGTTTTATATCTTCTGTCACGTTCAGTGCAGAGGAAACAGCATACACGTCATGCACGTGTAGCGTGGTGTAGCTGAAGGTAGTTGCATCTTATCTGCAGCCCACTCCTCCTCCTCCTCCTTCTCTTCCTCCTCCTCCTCCTCCTCCTCCTCCTCCTTCTGGCCCCATGGAGCCTCACTGTAATTAAATGAGGTTGTTGCACATAGAAAGACAAGAGAAGAGGGAGTCAGGAGTACAGGTTCAAGTGCGGATTTATTTCTAAAGTACATGTCATAAAAATCACAGGTTTCACGTAAAGGTGAGAAGAACATGTACATGATGATGTGATAACTTTTCACATCCATCCACTTGCATATACAGTGTATATATACATATATATATATATATGTATATATAAATATTTGTCAGACACATTACCTCATTTACTTACTTACTTCAGCCAGCCAGTGTGAAGCAGAGCAGATGTGTCTCAGGTGTAAAGGCTGAGGCAGATCTCACTTCTTTGGGCACACAGGAAACAGCTGGAAAACAGGGGCTGTGGTGTTTTCACTGCCACATGAGAAACTGGCTTTGGAGCTAATTTTAGGATGAGGTCCCTAAACTTCTTAAAATCAAGACCCAAATTACTTTGTAGTCTCAGTCTGGGCCCACTGACCTGTCAAAAACAGGTTTGTCTGAGCTCATGTTAGACACCAGAGCAGTTTTTA